CTGATTTGGACAATATCAAATAGAGGTTTCAAACATTGTTGTTAATTATTTAAAACTGGTGATTCAATTCTTCAGATTTATGGACAATTAAAGAGAAGTTACTTTTATTTGCTCAAACTTGTGCCATTAGAGACCTTAATGACAAAGTTATTTCCTATGTGAAATGGTAACCCTCGTCCATTTTTTAGAGGTCACAGAGGCTTTGTTATGAAATTCAAACAAAAAGCTCATTTTGGCTTGTTTTGAAAAGTAAGACAAAAATTAATTTATTTACTCTTTTTTTTAAACATACAAAAAAAACTAAAGAGATAATATAATCAAAATATACCAATAAATTAATTTTTTTCATATTCTCAAAAGAGGCTTGTGCCTTGGCTTATGGGCTTATGTTGGTGGTTAAATCTATGTAGTAAATTTTGGATACTAATCCATGTCAATCTATTGGGTCATCCGTAGCAATTATTTGGTATTATGAAACACAGGCTTAGCCATCAAAGTGCCATTTTTTTTTCTTTTCTTCTTATCTAGGAAATTTCTATGGACTATTAATTAGAATGTTTTAAGACTCTCTTTTGATGCATATATTATAATTTTAAATTTAGTCGAGGTGTGTATAAATTGACTTAGATACTCAGTTATAAAAGATAAAAATAAAAAATTTGAAAGTTAATAATTATGAGTTGTAATTTTATATTATTTCTAGTAAAGTATGGTGATATTTGAAATACTTCTCCCAAATTCCCAATCATGAGTCTTTCAAATAGGGCTGCAAATGAGCCGAACTTTTCATGAACAAGCTCGACTGAGCTTGTTAAGGACTCGGCTCGATTCGTCAAGCTAGACTCATTAATTTTTATTTAAACAATATAAATAACATTAAAAAAAATTATCGAGCCGAACCGAGTCAAACTTGAGTTTCATTAATATTAATTAGCTCTCATTATGTGTTAAAAATTAGGTATGCTCCTTTCAGGTCTCAAGTTGAACTCTCATTATGTGTTATCAATTTCTTGAGGTCATGTTTATAGGTATTATTTGAGATTTGTCCGATCTACGTGGAAGGGACACTCGGTGTGGATTCTAAGATTAGTCGAGAAATACGTAAATTGATTCAGACATCCGACTATCATAAAAATATAAAGATTAATTGAATAAACATAATCCAGACGCATAGGGAATAAGTCAATTGGATAGTTCAAGTGGGTAAAAATTCTCGAGAATGAGTCATTTTATAAATCAAAAATTTTAATTTTTTCAAACATAATTTTTAAACAAAATTTTTTTATTTATATAAAATGTTTTGATAATAGCCTTTTTGAGGACGACTTCAAAGGCCTCTTTTGGCAAAGAGGTTAAAAGTCATTTTTTGACTTCTATTTTTTTTGGGTCACATCATTTCTCTATTTTTTACACGTTTTTCCAAAAAAAGTTTTAAAAAAATGAAAAATTAGCTTTTAACATATTTCCTAAACACAACCCCAAAAAATTGTTTGTACTAGTTATAGTGGCATAATGATGAAGCTTAAGAGATAAGCGAAAGAATAATGGCAAAGAGGTTAAAAGTCATTTTTTGACTTCTATTTTTTTTGGGTCACATCATTTCTCTATTTTTTTACACGTTTTTCCAAAAAAAGTTTAAAAAAAAATGAAAAATTAGCTTTTAACATATTTCCTAAAACAACCCAAAAAAATTGTTTGTACTAGTTATAGTGGCCTAATGATGTAGCTTAAGAGATAAGCGAAAGAATAAGAAGATTTAACTATATAGACAGGATTCACAAGCAAAAAATAAAATTTTCAATTCAAAAAATATACACAGGATTCACAATTAAAAATTCAAAACCCTAATTTCAAAAAATATAGACAGGATTCACAATTCACAATACAAAAAATATAGACAGGATTCACAATTCAAAACCCTAACCCTAATTTCTGATTTCACAATTCAAAACCCTAACCCTAATTTATGATTTCACATTCAATTGAAAACCCTAGAAAAATTTTCCCAATTCAAAACCACAACATTTTACCAATTCAAAACCACAATTTCAATTCACAATATTTTCACATTCACAAACCCTATTCTACCAACATTTTCACATTCATGAACCCTATTCTACCCACATTATTCCCACATTGTACTCACATTCACATTTTCACAAACACAATAAACGCATAAAATTCAAATGAGACAGAGAGAGACAGACGCCATACTAACGAGAGAGAGCAACCCACAGACGGAGAGAATAGAGAGAGAGAGTCTGAAAACAGAGGGAACAAGAGCAGAGAGAGAGCGACAGCAGAGAGAGCGAGAGTAAGAGCAGAGAGTGAGAAAGAGCCTGAAGTCGAAAAAACCTAAGTGTAAAAAGCGTGGTTGCAAATGACGGGGCTGGGGGAATTTTATATAAGTTTTAAAAGCGTGGTTACAAACCACGCTTTCACTTAAAAATGGATTTTAGTTAAAAACGTGGTTATCATCCACGCTTTATTTTGTGAACAGTAAAAGCGTGATTCACAACCATGTTTTCAGGAAAAATTTTTTTTTGCTTAAAAGCGTGGTTTACAATCACGTTTTCAGAAGAAAAAAAAATACTTAAAAGCGTGGTTTGGAAACACGCTTTTACGATTTTACAAATTTTCCGCGCAAGAGGCACAAAAAGGGTGAAAGCGTGGTTCACAACCACGTTTTAGCCTAGTTTGGGAATTCCGTCCAAACTAGGCCTAGTTTGGGAAATAGGTTTCTAATTTGGCTTAATTTGGGAAAAGGCCCACATATATCCCTATGTCCTCAATATGTTTTTGGGTGAATTAGACTAACAGTCCTTATAGTTTGGGACTCGTGTCACTTTGGTCCCTGACTTTTCAATTGTGCCACATTTGACCCTAAATTTTGAATGCTGTTCCAAATAAGGACAATTGAAGATACTATTGTTTAATTTCAAGGACAAAATCATCAATTTAATAAAATATAAACTAATTTAACAAAAATAAATGTCAAACAAATATTTTTAATTTTTAAAAAATTATTTTTTATCCACCAATGATAAAATTCTGTAAAATTGATAAAAAATAATAAAAATTACATGATTAATTTTACATGATCATCATCCAAACGCATAATAAAAATTAATTGCGTAAAAAAAAATGTCTAAAAGATTTATCAATTTTACATAATTTTATTTTTAATGGGTAGAAATAATTTTTAAAAATTCAAAAATATTTGTTTGACACTTATTTTTGTTAAATTAATTTATATTTTATCAAATTAATGATTTTACTTTTGAAAAATCTAATGATATCTTCAATTGTCCTTATTTGTAACATGATTCAAAATTCAAGGTCAAATGTATCACAATTGAAAAGTCAAAACCAAAGTAACACAAGCCCCAAAATATAAGGGGTATTAGTGTAATTCACCCTATGTTTTTCAATAAAGCAGTAGGAAGATTATGTATACATTTTTCAAAAAAGATGAATGTAAAAACATTACACTCACTTCGATTCATTACCTTCTTCCCATGCGGCTGTCGTTGCTGCCACCTCCCAGTCACCCCAACCTCCGTTAGCCACCAATCAAGTTTGTTAAAATTGGGATTCTACGTTGAATCGTTGGAGATGTTTATAGGATCAAATCGTAGAATCAGATCGAGAATCATAAGATCCTACCCAAAAAAACAAATTACATAATAATTTAATTTAAATAAATATTTCTTAAAAATTATTCACAAAATGAGCCTATATTCTATTAAAAAGAAGTGAAGATATTGTGAAAAATATAATACTCCATGTAAAATGTACATATAATATTATACAATAGAAAACTAGATGGTAAAAGTTTTATATTTCATCAAAAAAGAAGGTGAAGAAGAAGAATTTTATAACAAAATACTTTACAATCTACAATAATACATAAAAAGTGAAGAAAAAATATTTAACAAAGTTGAAAATGAAAATAAATTAAGAACTCAAAAGAGCAATTTAACCAAATGAAAAGGTTTGTCATTAGCATCCCTGGCGGAGCGGATTCGACTCACAAAAATAATCTCTTCAAAAATTAGGATAAAGTTGCAATCATCTTACCCTCCTTAGACTCCGCTAAAACTAAGTTTGTTTTTTCGATTAGTTAATTTTCTTAAATTATCGCAATATTTGAATGTTTGTTTCCTAGTTTGTTTTTCTTAGTCTATTTAATTCAATACTACTTAATTTTTATTATTTATTTTGATCACATAAATTGATTTTTAGACAACAAATATAAAATTTATAATAAAATATGTCATATAATACAAAACAAGGCTTGTAAATTAGATTGAATATGATTAGATTCGGATCGGGATTCCACAATCCTATAAGATCCCATTACCAGGATCGAAAAATCCTACCTATAAGGAATTTTTTACACGATCCGGATCGATTGTAATCAAATGAATCGTAAAATCGTAGGATCGTAAGATCCGGATCGGGATTCTGATAACCATGCCCCCAATCCCTCCCCAGCTAGGTTTTCCATACCCCAACCTCCCTTATCTTGCCGCCTCACTCACCACCCACCCCAACTGCTCTCCTCCCTGACCACCACATGCAACCCCCCTTTTCCCCCTTGGGGCCACCTTCCCTGTTTCCTCCTTCCCAATGCCTCGGATCCACCCCTCCCTCTTCCACAGTCCCCTTCCCCCACTTGTGATACTCCCCAGCCCTTCCCTTTCCTATCGCCCCCACCTCCTTCCCCATTGCCTCCACCCCTGCATTCTTCTTTTGCAAATTGCCACCACCCACTCTTCTGCACAATCTCTCTCTCTCTCTCTCTCTCTCTCTCTCTCTCCACCTTTCAGCTCCCTCTTTCTTCTGGCGATGGGTTGTGGGGCTCAAGAGGGCAAGAAGGCAGGTGGCTAGAGGTGAGGAGGGGCGACCAGGGGTAGGGAGGGAAGGAAAGGGGGTGGAGAAGATGGCACTGTTGGGCTAGGTAGATTGGGTGGGTTGGGATAAGGTGGGAATATTAATTGAGCGTTCAAAGAAAAATAACAAATTCAAATTTGACAATGAAGTGTCCAATAATTTTTTTGGTACATTCAGACTCCCCACTCTCAGGTTTGAAACAAACCCTACAAATTTGACTTAATTATAATGACTACCCTTTTGGTAACACAAACAAGGTTGCCAGGCACTGGTCACCCATCCTACCACATTTTTAGCTTAGTGAAAAATAAAATTACACCAATATCAGAGCTTACATCACAACAAACTTATGATTCTGCAACTACAGTATATAACAAACACCACCCTGTATGGTTTCTGTAAAGAATCACTTGCAACCCGAAGCATCGAAATTGGGGAATACCACAAACTTGACAGACAAAGGAGCGACAAACATCGGTGAATTCAGATGAACAAGAACTGGATTCAAACTTGGAATGTCTCCACTGGCAGTGAGCTGTAACGGAACACCATTTAGTACCATGGTTTTGCTTCGAAGATTCCCACCCTTTGGAGTTAGATGATACTCTTCTCTGAAAGATGTTCCGTCTGATGCTTTGCTTCCAACCCACGACACAGTTCTCTTGAGACTCTGAGTAAAAGACTTTCCACTTTTATCGGCTGTCTCTTTCACATGTACGGTGATGTTCATACTATTTCGAACACTTAGGTTGAACTTGGTCTGGTTGCTTAAATTGATCAGAAGCAAAGTAATACCTCCCTGTAATAAGATGATAGTGGCAATCGAGAAACTAGTTTACAAAAGAATTTTGTAAAGATAATGTCAAATTGAAGTCTGGTTTTATAAATATAAAATAAAATATGAATGGTGCAAGAAAATGAGCTTGAATGTACTAAGCATGCAGATGTGGGAAAGCATAAAACATACTGAAATCTTGGAGGCGGAACTAGTTTATGCCGGGAAGTGAATAGGGAAAACCTTTGCAAATTTTAGATATAGTCAAGTTGGGTCATAAGCATCGACACAACAATGGCATCATTACAGAGAGCACAAGCAATTTATGTGGAAAACCTTGACAAAAACTCTGCCGCAAGGCAAAAACCACAGACACAACAACCCAACAAAATCCACTATTGAAATCAATAGTAAAAGACTCATGATGAATAGGACTTACAACACTTACCCGAATAACAGTACATCGACTCAAGGTTTTGTCAAATAGGAATCGCCAATCTATTGTAGATACTGTAACACAATCGTAATTTGAAACTTCAGTCACTAAATGTTGTTTCTAATTCTGCTTCCAATTGATGTGTATGAGAACATGTAGAAAAAAAATGCAAGCCTCAAGGTGCAACATGTGTGCACAACACTACAACCAAACATTGTAGATTTGACCTCAGGAGTTTTGTACTAACCAAACCAAGGCCTGTGTCTCAATCAAGTGGACTCAACTACATGAATCCTTTTATGCTATTCTACCCTATCAAGGGTTATATGTTTAGTTAAATTAAATAAATCATATATTTTTTCAATACTGCATCTCATGTCAATTTAGAACTGCCCCTCCCCCTAACATCTCCATTTACAGTGAGCATGCTAAGCCATGGCAAGCTTGTAAGACACTGAACAGAAGTCCACACCAATCAAGCAAATTGGAATAATTAGGGGTACATGTATTTTTCAATGGGCGTTAAATGGGGCCTAACCTAACACAAACAAGTCTACCAATGAGCATTCATGTCAAAAACCGTAGGGTTTACTGTATATATAAATGTGGGTCGTAAGTTCAAGATGACCATTGAGTGATGGTGTTATGAACATCTCATGATGTTTGGCTATGGACATCACAATCTCTAGATTCGGATCTTTCTTGTCCACCTTGCCAAAGTGTATATTCCTTCATACAAAGTCAATACAAAATCAAGAAATAAAGTAGTGCTCTCTTACTCTTCCTTTTGAACAATGGGCATAGGAGCGTAAATATGGTGAAGCACTGGTATTAACAGCAAGAACTTCTTTTCCCATCAGCCGATGCCACAGAAGTGCACTACAGAGAACCAAATATCCATAGAAGCAAAAGTTCAATGTCAGAAGTGTGTAAAGTACAAATGAAGAAACTTCTAAAATAATTTATTTCATTTTTAAGAAAATAAAAAGTTAAAATTTATTGTCTTGCCTGTAATAGTCAGGGTTAGGGATGAATGTGGGTGTGTCGAGGAGACCATAATTTCCGCCGATTAAAGTCTGTCTGCAATATACTCTAGTGTCATACTTTGCTGCCATTCCAAGCTGATCCAAGTACCTATATTTCATATGTGAATAAGAGTTAACGATAAATTGCCTCTCTACCTATGATAAAAAGCATAAGATGGTTAGAAGAGAACGAAATTAAAGAGACGAGCAAGTTTACCAAAAACTATTCACGAAGGTGTTGGATACATTATGGCCACCACTGTTAAACGCTCCCCCGGATTCTCCGACCCAAGCAGAAGACCAAGGACCATGGGTTTGAATGGTTTGTTTAAGGCCGCTGAACGTTTCTGATACCTTGCTCAAATAATGAGGATTCAGAATTTTATTCACAAGATTAGGATCAGCACCTGAAACAAAGTAAAACTAAAAGTTACTAGCTTGAGGAATGACATGATTGCCTTCGTAGGTTCTGTTATTAACACATAAAAACCTAGTTTGACCGGTTACCACACGTGAAGACCCTAGGTTCTTCATTGACTATATCTGGTTTAGATATATAAAGGACATCCATGCACATCCACACCTATATACAGAATTAGAAAACATAAATTTCTGCCTTTCTTGTGATTTTCTGCAGCTACATCCATGTCTTTTTTTAATATGGTACAGCGTCATCAAGGCTAGAGTGTCAAGCAGCGGGACTGGCTCAACCTCAAGACGATTGAGGCGGTCACCCAAGGTCCCATTTTTTAAAAAGGCACCTCCAATTTCTAAGTTGTTTGTTTAAACACTCAGAGAGGGAAAAAAAAAAAAGGAAAAGAAAAAATTCCTTAACCAAAAGCCTAGAGAAAAATATCTTTTGCATACAAGCTTCTACTAATAAAATAATTATTATATATACATCAAAAACATGTGTTCACATATCAATTTATAAAAGATAATAATGGGACCTTACCAAGTTGAACCACTCACCCACCTGAACCCAAATTGTATATATGATGTGTCATAGCGTTGATCACGGGTGAGCCTGTAACCTGAAGGAGTCTATTATACCATTGCTTCTCATAGAATCCTCCTGGAGCCACGAGTAAAGGTTTTGGTTTGAAGTTCTTATACGACTCATCAATGATAGTTTTAAGCTTGATCAAGTCTCTTCCATACTGTTCAGCACCAACAATTGCACCAACACCACCATTTAACTCATTGCCTGCAGCAGCAAAGGCAGGGATAAGGGTGCGGCATATCACAAGAAGTTAGAAAAATTAAGGGATTTGTCGATAATACAGTACCGAATTCCCATGAATCTATTTGGTGGCCTTTGGAAATAGTGTATTTTATGAAATCATTTGCATTACTGGAGTCCCAATCTCCTCCCCAGACTTCCTTGCTTATCTTGTGCCTCCCATGCAGTGCATTCAAGCCAAATGTTACAAGTACTCTGTAACAAAGAGAAAAAACAATCACGGCAATTAACCAGGCCCCCCCCTTCTGTCATGGGATTTAATAGGTTACAAATTAGAAAGTCCCACATTTCTGTGGAATCGGCACAAGATTCAACGGAAACAGTTAAGCTGAGGCTGTGTTTTGATCATGGATTCAGGGAGGGATTTTCTAAGGGAAAGGAAAAGTGAAGGGAAAAGTGGATGAAAAATAAGCTTTTTTTTTTTTTTTACTTTTCCCTTTCCTTTTCCTTTTCCTTTCTGTCCACAAATCCCTCTTCCAAACCATGATCCAAACACAACCTTAAAGAAACTTAAATGGGCAAGCATCAGTCTCACAATATTCATTTCCCCTTGAGAAGCTAATTCTGAAAGAAAATGGAAGAATGAAAAAACATGCACCTACTAGAAAGATTCTCTCAAGAAGGTTTTATGAGACAACTAAGAAAAGCTGTCAAAAAATTTATCTGTAATCATCAAATTGACTACCTAGCTTCAGCTTAGCAAAATAACTATCTATGCACAAGAACAACCTGAACAGAGCCCAATGGAGGCTTTCGACAAATACCATGTTGAAAGAACAAATGATTACAAGAGGGTATTGTATACTAAAATTTTCTTTCTAGAGATTAAACTACAAGTTGAACTCTAAAATCCAAAATAAAAAATCAGAAGGAAAAAAATGGCAAAACAAAATCTTTACCCTGTTTTATTGAAAAAGTGGTTCACTTCATTCCACCTATCCATGTGTAAGCATCCCTTTGAAAATCCAAACAACCCACCATCCATCTTTCTAAATGGATGGCATTGGGTTTTCAAATTTCCCACATCATAGAGTACTTGGTCCTGCAGAGATCCCCCTACTCTTATTCTCAAGCGCTCGAAAGCTGTTTCACAACCAAGAAGAAATAAAATATTAGCAAAATGAGTAATTTTATGCAGCAAGTACCAGAACAATAATAAATCATTCTTATGCATCAGGCGTAAATTATTCTTAAACATCAAGTATCAGAATAATAAGGCTATGTTTGGATTAAGGATTTGAGGAGGAATTTGTGAAGGGAAAGGTAAGTGGAAGGGAAAAGTGTACAAATTTAGCTTGTATTTCATTTACTTTTCCATTCATTTTTCCTTTCCCTCCAAAAATCCCTCCTCAAATCTTGATCCAAACACACCCTAAATGATTTAAATGAATTATTTGTATGCATCAGGCTTAAATTATTCTTAAGAACATCTACCACCCTAAATGACATGAACACAAACCTTGAATAGCCTTGGCAAGAAAAGGATGAGATAAGTCCTGAAAAAATTGAAAACACAGTAATCAATTTTATGATTTTTTATTCATCAACAGGAAATACATGGTGTGTTTATAAATAAATAAAAAAAGGAAATACATGGTTCAAATTCAAGAAAATTGATCAATTTTAAATTAATATAAAAATAAAATTGAATTGTTACCATATTTATAATGGATGAATATCCCCATGGGCATTGGTTGTAGTTACACTTATCATGAGGCCACCAATCAATTGTCGCGCATATATAATTAGGATCTGTATTAGTAACTGCTTGAGTTCCATTGACTACAATCACGGCATCTTCAACTTGTTGAGCCCAAATAGCAGAAAGTGATGCCAGAGAGAGAAACAACGAGAAGCGAAAACCCATTGGTGGATCAATTACAACAGTTGGGCCACCAACTCACTCACTACAACAAAAAGTTGAAAAAGAACATATCAGTTTAAGATCCAGTGCTATCATTACCTGTTTTTGTAAACGAAAAATATTACATGGAGAATTTTCTACAACAAAGCAAACTAGTTATGCAGAATATAGAAAGAACAAATTTCCTGCAAGATGTATGGGTGTTCCACATTTGTTCTTATACAGTGATAGTTACGCAGGTTTCAGATACAGTTTTATTTTAATTATTTCGGAAGAAAATCATATTAATTATCCTATCAAAGCAACAAGAGTTCAAAGAGGACCCAAAATCAGGAAACTAGAATAAGCTCATTTTTTGGTATTAATTAATTTTTGAGAGAACTATAGGACTACATACAACACAGACATGCATACATTCACACACATACCTCTGCATTTCAGCAAAAAGGGGTTTGAAACTCTCAAACTTAGCAAGACAATTTAGAAGAATCATGAGTAAATAGAAATATACATACACTTACAGATGCAAAAAAGTGATAAATATCAATCACCATGTCTTCCCATCTACAACAAGATTACCAGAAAGTAAAAGCAAAGCTACACGCATCATAAATCGTAAGATTTCAGTGAAACCCAACAAGAATTCAATAAATCATAACCCGAAAATCAAGAAAGATCTTTAAGAAAAAAATCTTTACAACTACTCAAAAAAACTAACGCCAAAATGGTATAGCAAAACCAAATCTTAAGGATAACCCAGATAAAATTCAAGAGAATTAAGGACAACCCAAATGAAATCTGACCTCAAATCACTTAGAATTCAGTACAAACGGCAATGCTAAAGCTCAATTCCACATGAGAATCAAATCCAGAATCTAAAGTGGGTATCCAGAGACGAGCCTGCTTCACTATCTATGTATCTTTGATATAACTGTACGCACTCGGCGACAGAGAACTGGGTGGGGGACGAAATTTGATGGTCTCAGATTTGTTGGATTTTTGCTAAATTCCAGTTATTTGGTAATCTAATCACATGTTGTGAAAAGTGAAAAGTGTGTATATATATATATATTTTTTTAAGATCGGAAAGTGTATATATTTATCTTGGGATAAGTTTGAGGGAAAAGGTATGTTTGGGTTTTTGACTGATGTTTGCAGAGATTCCAAGTAGTACAATAATGAAGGGGGGATTAATATCTTAATGTAAAAGTTAATGCATACAATTAAACAAATCATTCTTGATTCATGTGGGAATAATTGTTCTATTGACCGTTTGGATTATGTGACCTTATTATTGATTATTTAGGGTTGGTTTGGCAAGGGTTCATTGGGTTTTTTTGGTTCAATGAGCCATAAAAGACAGAATAGGCTCATGAACCACAACAGACAAAACATCCCATCCAATCCCATAATCATTACACTCTTCTCTCACAAAAAAATTAAAAAAGCCAAAAAATCAAAAGCCTTTCCCAAACCAAGCTTTTGAGCCTAGGCTCATATAGTCAAAAAAGCCAAAAAGCTAAAAAGCCAACCCACTTCCCAAACGGAGGCTTAAGTCACTCCCTCGGTTCAACCAATTAAGGTCATCCATTTGCTAATTGGAGTATAGTTATGATTTGTTGAGAGATGTACTAAATAAGCAATTAAGGTCATCCATTTGCTAATTGGAGTATAGTTATGATTTGTTGAGAGATGTACTAAATAAGTGTGTTGATTCGATGAGTGTATTTATTTGAATTATATTATTATTTTATTTTTTTACATATATTTTTATAGAAAAGTAAAAAGTATATTAAGTACATTTCAAATAATTCTTAAATAGGAAAAGGTTTCTCTCTTGTCCAAATCAAGTTGGATAGTGTTGTTAGGCGCCTGTAGGCTCATTACAGAGCTGATATCGATGATTCGAATTGTTTAATGTGTAGAACTCGTCGAATATTTATTTTTTTAAAAAATTACATTGATCGAATATCAATAGTCACTTGATCAGATCACAATTGTATTAACGGTAAAGTATAACTTTAAAATAAATTATTTATTTCAAAATATTTAACGAAACTTACATATTAAACGGTTTAAATTAACAAATCACTTGCCTAATAAATCCAAGAATACCTCAGCACTTTCCAGTTGGAAAGCCTCTCCCTAAATAAATAAAAATCCATTTGCTATTCAAGTTGCGGATTAAAGGTAAGTCAAGGGAGTGCGTTTGGCAATTATTTGATATAGTTAAAAAGTTATTAAAAATTAAAAAATTATATAAAAAAACTTAAAATATTTTGAGCTTTTTAATTATATTATTAATTTTTCTTATTTATTATTTTCTTATTTTCATGTCATTTAAATATTTTGTTAATCAATATGCTAAAATTTTTAGTTTTTTTCAATTATAATCATCAATCTCTAATGAGCAATGATTTGACTATAATTTCTATAATAGAAAGCATACATGTTTGACATTATTACTTTATTTTTTATTGACAAATTAAACTATAATTATTATTTGTGAGTGATAATGTTTTCAAATTTATTATTATCTATACATTAAGGCAAAATAACTTTTTGTCCAAAATATTTTAAAGCTTCCAAATATTAATAAATACATGTCACATAAAATTATTAACCCATCCAAACAAATTTAATTTAAAATTTTAAAACAATTAAATGAAAAGTTTATATGTAAGCCAAATCTAATTTAAACAATAATTGATATATTTTAGAGTTCAAATTTAAAGTTTAAGAAGAATATGAGAAAAAATAGTTATTTTTTTTGTATAAAAATTCTATGGAAGGAATGAAATTTTCATAAGAAAAACATTCTAGAAAGAATCTATATATGGCAATGACATCGGTGGGCCTACAAAAGGTTTTGACTCATGACTTAGAGCCCAATTCACGATTCAAGTATTAAAGCCTAGCACCCTTAAAAACCCAATGTTGAACCAGGAACCAATGACATCTAACATTTGTCAAGCAGGGAGCCAGCCACGTAAGCAGACAAAGATCATGTAGAGTTATTGCACCACACATCAGTCATTAATGAGGCTCTCACAGCATTAAATGCGACAACCCCTTCACGTCGGAACAGGCAGTCTTGCCGTGAACAATGCAAGTTAGAGTATAGACTTTTGGCCAACACAACAGGTCGGAGTGGATAAAGAAATGATGGACAAAGGATATAAGGAAGTTTCCGAGACACATCAAATGTTAAGTTCATCCTTCTTCTTCTCTCTCTCTTTACACAGTCAATCTCTTTTATTCTAACTTGATCGTCGGAGGGTCCGTTGGGGGACTCCCATTTTCCGTTTGACTTTTTTGCAGGTACCACCAACGAGCTCTGAGACCAGTAAAAGGTGTTAGAAGCGTGGGTCAGCTCGACTCGCCCTCCCGTGGATCAACAACATCATCAATTGGCGCTGTCTGTGGGAATCGCCACTCCGATTAACAGTTGTGCTCATTGCTGCCGGAGACCCGTTCCTGATAATTTCTTCTTACCTTACATCAAGGTGAATGGTTACAATGAGATCTATGGCTTCTCAACAAAATGTCATTGACCCCCAAGTCGACCCTCCCAACCCAAACAACCCACCTCAGCATTTCACAGAGCTCACCAACAGCATCAACCGCTTGGTCGAACAAAACCAGGCCTTGATCAATGCTTTACTCTAGCGAAATCTCCCTATACCTCCTCCACTACCATAAGATATCCCTCCTAATCGAGAACAGACCTCGAGCCATCCTTTCCAACAAGCCCACCTTTCCAACCTAGAGGGTTTATAAGCCCCACCTCAAGACATGAACCCACCACCTCAGGGCCTATATCCATCAATTCAAGCACTTGTCCCTGAAGGAGAGGCTAGTAGTGTTCAGCCCCCATAGCACTCTGGAGGGGACAATGTTCCTATTTGGGATGCGGAACTTCGAGCCATGAAACTACAGCTTCAGGGAGTCATGCAGAACATACCGAATAAACCCTCCACAACAGCCAACTCCCTATTTGTCGCCTCCATCAGGGACAAATCCCTACCCTTCAAGTTCAAAATGCCCTCGATCGACACCTTCGACGACACAATCGACCCGATCGACCATTTGGAGACCTACAGGACCCTCATGATCCTCCATGCTTTTCCTGACGAAATCATGTGTCGGGCTTTCCCCATGATGCTTAAGGGGTAGGCTAGACTATGGTTTAGTCAGCTACCATTGGACTTTGTCTCTACTTTCCAACATCTAGGTGATTCTTTCCTGAGCCATTTCATTGGCGCTCAGCGCCAGCGGCGCCCAGCAACTCAACTGCTTAATATCCGGCAGACGGAAGGGGAGTCACTACGCAGTTTTGTCACCTGTTTCAACACTGAGGCCCTATAGGTAGCAGAAAACGATGACAAGGTCATCCTCACAGCCTTCATGATCGGTTTGCGACCATCCGATTTCCTTTTCTCCCTTTCTAAAAACCCTCCGACCACCATGGCTACCCTCCTTTCTAAAGCCCAAAAATATATGAATGCTGAAGACTCTTTGGTAGCCTACCAAGATTCCACACCTAAAAATCCACCCCCTAAGGACAAAAGAAAGGAACCCGAACCCAGATCCTCCCAATATATACATTAACTCCCTTAATATACTGACCGACTTGCTCGAGCCGACCGACCGGCACGTACTCGACCACCCGGTCGGTTCGAACGATACACCCTTCTCAATTTCCCCATGGAATAAGTCTTGAACCAAATTCAACGAGACTACAACCTGAAATGGCCTTAACCATCACGATCTCCTTCCAATCGGCGAGATCAATCCAAGTACTGTCGTTTCCATCAAGACCACGGCCACAACACTGAGGAATGTGTTAACCTTAAAGACCAGGTAGAGGATTTGATACGTTAGGGGCGCCTCAGTCGGTTCACGGCAGCCCGTCCCCAGTAACGACCGAGGACTGACTCGCCGGGGGGCCACCGTCGACATATCCCCCCGACAACCCGCACAACCTAAGCGAGATAATGATCGGCTCCCACCATAACCCTGGGCACTAGGCAATCTCGCCCCCCCGGTCGGCGAGATCAGAGTCATCGCTGGTGGGCTCACATGCGGAGGGCCATCTCGATCGGCCCAATGAGCCGAACTCAGAAAAATCAAACAAGGCTCCGATAAGGAAGTAACGACATTGGATCGCCCCTTCAAACACCCCAAGCAATGGTTTAAACCCATCACCTTTACAGAGGCTGACTGCACAGGCATCCGTTCCCCCCACGATGACCCCTTCGTCATCTCTGCTCTCTCATTCAACTACAAAGTCAGACGAGTCCTTGTCGATAACGGCAGCTCTTCAGACATCATCTTCTTGAATGCCTATCGCCAACTCAAGGTCGGAGAAAAAAAGTTGTCCCCCCTCCAAACCCCGCTAGTCGGTTTCACCAACGATCGGGTGACCTCCATAGGCTCCATCGATCTTCCCATTAGCATCAGAGAATATCCACGACAGACCACCAAACTACTCACTTTCCTCGCCATCGACTGTCCTTTTGCTTATAACATCATCCTCGAATGTACGGCTCTCAACGCCTTCCAAGGTGTTACCTCCACATACCATCTAGGCATGAAATTTTCGACTAACGTTGGGGTCGGCACAGTGAGGGGCGAGCAGACGATGGCCAGAGAGTGCTATGTCGCCTCGCTAAAGGAGATCAAAATGAAGGAGGCTATGATCATCAAGGGTCTCGACGTTAGAGACGAGGAAAAGTTAGTTAGAGGGGAGCCAGTGGAGGAACTTGTCGAAGTGCCTATCGATCCTACTGATTTAGCCAAAACAGCCAGGATTGGCAGCCAACTGTCCTCTTAGGCTAAGGCTGATCTCACAGCTCTCTTAGCTGAGCACAATGATGTCTTCGCTTGGATCCATTCAGACATGCCAGGTATCAATCCCTTTTTTATTACTCATCGTCTCAGCATTGAGCCCCACTTCCGACCTTTCTGACAGAGGCAGCGTATTTTTCACCCAGAACACAATACCCTCATCGCCACCGAGGTGGATAAAC